ACTGTAACCCAGGTATGGTTACAACAGGACACTGTAACCCAGGTATGAGATTGTGCTCTCTCTCCCGGTATCTTATTGTCCCATGCTCACCCATCTTGCGATGCTGACGATAATAAAACGCCCGCGTGAGGAGATGCAGTAGGGGAATGTTGGAAGTGCTGTGACGTAGTGTTTGGCCGCTGCCGACCCTCTGACGATTTGTCAGGAGGAGGACCATGGACTTTGAGACCACCATTGACACCGGGAGCTGAAACTGCAGAAAGCGCAACTGCAAAGGGGTTGGGGGTGGGGGAGCAGTTCTGAACCCTTAGGCTTTTCTGCTTCTCGGCGAGTATCGTGTTGAATGAATGAATCAGCGGGTGAGGAGGAGGAGATGAGGCAGGTGAGCACTGACATATTCGCGCTCGCCTCTATCCTCCCGGGAACACCCAGTGGGGCCGGCACCCAGACGTGAGAAGAGGCTTATGACTGGGGCTGCTGGTTCAGTGGTGCCCTGGGGGTAGCTGGACAAAGAGATGGCTTTCATGGGTCAGTTGTCATACCTCATCCAGGCAATTCAGCATGTTCCCTCTGGACCTGGGAGCAAATAAGGGTCTACTGTGGAATATTATCTTTACCAGGTCTAGGTGCCTTCTTAGGAGTCACCTCGTTTTATCTCACCAGAATTCTGTAAGGACTGAAGGACTTTTGTAGATGCGAAAGCAGAGAGCTTGAGGGCCGTCTGTGGGCGTCCCCTGCCTGGAGGCCAGAATCACATCCCTCAGCCCCACACTCCCTCGCGCCCCACCTGACCTCATGCTTACCAGGACACCTTCAGGCTCTCCAGATGGTTCACCAAGCCTTAAAAAGGTCCTCCTGCTATTTGCACTATTTCTCATGCTACTGGCCCCCAAAACAAACTCCTGAGAGGATGCCAGACCAGCCCACGGTGATCCATGAGCCAGGGTGCTTGGGGCCCAAAAGCTCATGTGAAAGTGAGCTCATAAGCCTGCCTGTTGAAGGGAACCTCGAACAGTTTGGCTGTAGTGGTTGACTAAGAAGCCAGCGGGGCAGCTCCGCCGGCAGAAGGCCCGTCCCTCCGTGCAGACCCCACAGCACCCTTCTGCACATGAGGTGCTGGCCCCATTTATCCAGGGCTGCCTGGCCTCTGCCGACACCGCAGTGCCTAAACCCCCATACAGGGCAGAGGCAACCCCTCCGTGCACGGGCGAGAGCAAGGAGCCGAGCATCCAGAGAGCACCCGATGCTGACCGGCCTTCGGTCGGTTCCATCAGCTCAGATCCGGGTCTTCTGACTTGAAGCACTTTCCCTGGTCTAACACAGCAGAACCTTTCTCCACACAGGCTGAGATTGAATGAGAAACCATTTCTTAAGGGTCCACCAGACTGCACAGCTGTACCCTCAGCTCTCACTGCCTGTAGGTGTCGTCTGAGGAGAGACATTCTGTGTTTTCTTACAAACTGTAAAAGCCAGAATTGGCTGTCGTGGGTTTCCGGGTCCCCGGCCTCATCCAGGGGTGGGCCACGCTGAGTCCTGAAAATAAGGAGAAAAATCCTCACGTGGGCTCTAGTGATGTACAGTGTAATCTGATTTGGTTTCCTGGATGTCTGCCCGTTCTGTACGCTCACACATAGGCTTTGGCCTTGCATTTAAAATCTCCTTATGATAATACTCAAAGGCTATAGATGTTCTCAGATTGCTTCTAAAGAAGTAGAAGCCAAGTTGCTTGCATTAGCCAGCCAGAGAAACAAACCGAAAAGCAACATTTAACCTTTTCCAAACATCTGTGCACCCGCTCAGCTCTGATCAATAACTCCATTGATCATGATGTGTTTTCCTTCTTCCTGTTTGGTGACAGCCATCCTCACAGGATGGACAGAGTACCAAAAGGCCGCCAGTACGCTTCCATATGCTGTCAGGTAAGAGAGCGACAGCAACCAGTGAACACCGTGACCCTGTTCGGGGTGCTGTGGGTCATGCTGTCACCCTTAGTAACAGCACCCAGCCCAGGGTTACTGTGCCGCCCTGGCTTAGCAAGCACACGATGGTGCTCAGGGTCACCATGAATCGGGCACCTGGGTGGCTCAGTCAGTTAAGCGTCTACCTTCAGTTCAGGTCATGATCCCGGGGTCCTGGGATCGAGTCCCACATCGGGCTCCCTGCTCAGCGGGGAGCCTGCTTCTCCCTCTGCCCTTCACCCTGCTTGTGCTCTTCGCTCGCTCGCTCGCTCTCTCTCAAATAAATAAATAAATAAAATCTTAAAAAAAAAAAAAAAAAGATTGTCATGGATCTGAGGAGTCAGATAGGGTCTTCCCGCTCCGTTCCTGGTCTGCGCTGGCGCCCAGGGCTGTGGAGCCACTCTGCTCAACCTCCCGCCATGCATCACTTTCAGAAGGTTAGGCTGGGTCCTCATGTGTCTAAGTAATCCAGTGTATTTCTGTCATCTCTGCATTGTTAGGCTCTGCGGAATCTTCTGTTTTCAGCTGCTGTGAATCCACGTTCAGGGTGTCTCAAACATGCAGTGAAGGGTTTTCTCTTTGTTAGCCACCAGACTCACTCAGGCTCTCAAGGAGTCTAGTCCCCTCACGATAGAGTCGTGTCATGTGGAGGAGCAGAGCGGGTTTGCCTTACTTGCTGGGTCCCCATCATTGATTGGAGGAGATTAGAATGGAACCCAGCACTGAGTACTCACTACCCGCCAATCGCCTTTCTCAGCACGTAACAGCATCACCTCCTTCAGAAAGGAGAGAGGGCGAAGCAGAAGCCTTAGGAAGTTATCAGTATCGTCATCCTCATTTTCCTAATGAGGCAGGATCGACATCCGGCTGCCTGCAGAGCCTGGGGAGCATTCCCTTTGCTCTTTTCTGTTTTCTTTTGCTCACTAAAAGTAATACAAGCACAAATTTAAAAAAACAAAAATGCAAACAGTGCAAAAGCACCCTCCTGGATGCAGCTCTGGCCTGCTTTCCGGGGCTGCACCCACTTCGTTGCTAAGGGCCCAGGCAGTGGCAGGCGCCACCTTCAAGTCTAGGCCCACTCGCAACGCTCCACATGACCAGCCGGGGGGTGGGGGGGGCATGAAACATTTCCTCTGCGGGTGTCAGTTCCAGGAGCCCAGGGCCCTGAGATTACAAATACACTCCTCATCTGCACAAAGCAAGGAAAGGAAACATGAGAAAAAAGAAACTATTTCGGAAGGACATTGATTGGAAATTGCATTTCTTTACCATTCCAGACCATGTTCCTTCGTTCCCTTCTCAGGGCCCCCCGTGCCAACCAGATAGATTCTTGTAGGAGCATATGCACGTTTGTAAGCACCTTTCCAGCTTCTCCCTCTGTGCTTGACATAAGTGGAAATGCACTCTGCGGCATCCTTCACTCTGCTGCTTTCAGCCCTCAGGATGTCCTGAAGAGGTTTCCATGTCAGCATATGGAAATCTGTTACATTTTGAGTATTGTTTGTGTTTAAACAGTTAGTGAAATATTTCAGATTATTTCAGACGTCTTTTAGATTATTTCAGATCTCTTGCATCTCCTCTAACAATGCTGCTGTGACGTCCTGTGTGGGTTTCTTTGGACCCTCTGTGTTCCCATATGTCTGTAGGGTGAATTCCTACCAGTGGAAATCAGAGCCTGGGATCCTAAACAGCTCTGAGCACTCTTGAGGACTCGCCCACCCCCAAAACAGTGAAGCAGACCTGGCTCTCCAGGTCCCCCACACAGACAGCACCTTTTGCAGCTGGGGCAGCCCAGCGACTCTGGAAGCTGGCTAGGATTCCAGATCAGTGTGTAAGCGCATGAGTTCCCACTGCTGGTACCTGCTCAGCGTATAGCCAGAGTGAAAGCCTGGGGTTGCAGGTCGAAGAGCTCCCTGCTCCTCATCGGCCCTTTCTCCAGCCCCACTGGGTCTGTGTGCTCATCACCCGGGCTGCCCGTTGGCTGAGCCACACAGGCGGCTTCCTGGCCCACCCACATCATGCCCCTCTGCCCACCCCAGGTCTTCCTTGGATGTGCTAGCTTCCTGCGCTCCCTCTAGATCCAGGAAGTGACTGGCCCTGCCCCATTCTAGGCACCCCCACAGCTGCTGGGCTGCGGGCGCCTCTCTCTGCCAGGTTATTTCACTTCCTATCACACGTTCCCAGGCTGTTTCCATAGCTGTTGAATTCGTGCAGTTACAACTGTTTTCAACTCCCGAGCCCTGAGCCCCCACCAAGGCCCCAGCCCCACGGTGGGCTCCATCTGCGGTGCCTGTGGACTCCTCCACTTTATGAAGTCAAAACTAGCACTCGCCAAACAGTGTCCTGCTAGGTAACTGCCACATTAGGTAGATGCTGAAAAAGCCTTCAGAATTAGAGCAAAGAATAGAACGGCTGGGGAAGGTGGGCCAGGAGATGGACCTTCGGGGGTGGAGGCTTCAGATAGCGAGACTGAAGGTGCCGGTAATGAACAGCCACCATCCCTGGCAGGCATGGTGCTATACACACATTACTGTCATCCTCAAGCCCTGTGTGGACGATCCTGTCGTCCCCCCCGTTGTGGACGAGGCAGCCGCTGGGCAGAGAGAGGCAAAGACCTGGCCGAAGGACACGTTCCAGAGGAGCCCAGTTCCCACCAAGCCTGTCCGGCTCCCACATCCTGGCCTTCACCCCTCTCGCCATGGGCTGCCTCACCTTGTCTGGGCCACTGGGCAGACCAGGGATCCCCGCCTGAGTCCCTGCTCCCTTGACTGATGGCTTCCTTGTCATTGTAGGACTTCTGCCACGGGCAAGTGATGTGGCCGCCCCTCAGCGCCCTGCAGGTGAAGCTGGCTGAGCCCGGCCAGTCCTGCAAGCAGGTGTGCCAGGAGAACCAGCTCATCTGTGAGCCTTCTTTCTTCCAGCACCTCAACAAGGACAAAGACATGCTCAAGTAAGTGCTGGGGGTCGGGAGGACCGGCCCAGCCTCCAGCATACCTCTGGGTCAGAACTGGGCTGAGACGGACAAGGCTTGGGGAGCAGGTTGCGGCATGGTCCCTCCCCGCCACTGCCCCACTCCCCCAGCAAGTTAGACCAGCAGTTTGGTTGTTAGATGGATGAGATCACCCTGGCATGCTGATAGATTTAGAATTCGAACGGGGGTGTTATATTTGCAGAAATAAGGCCGTTTGGGGGATCAGAGATGGTGGGAAGGGTTTGGTTTGTTCATGTCATACCCAGGAACTGTGGGAGTGGAGGTGGGCATAGAAGCACAAGCCTGGGGGGCCCCACCCCTGGGCTCCCCTGGCAGAAGCCAGGTCTTCTGGATGGCTTGAGGGCTTCCCCTCATGCCTGCATGACTTGTAGCGCTCCCGTGCGCTTCCCTTGGCATTGGCAGACCCCAAATTTCTACGTGAGGTTTCCTCTGGCCTCTGACTCGTGACCCCTGTCAGTGCTAAGTCTGTGCTCCCCATTTTTATTACACCCACCCTGGGCCTCCTCTGACTTAATTACCGAGCCCCACCCCCCTGAATAGCTCTGGTTAAGAGACGTGCTGTCCCAACCCTAGATACTCAGCAGAGCAGTGCTACTGTTCGGTCCTGACGCGATTTAAGAAATGCAGTGTGCTCGCTGCTCGTGGCTTGCCCCTCTCCCGTTCAGGCTTCATGCTCTGTTACACGGTTGGCCTCTGGGGTCATCCGTGCCCAGAGCGCGGAGCTGGCCTCGTCCTATATCTTCTTCTTCTCAAGCATGGTATAAAACCCTTCTTACAGAGCGTGGCCTCTCGCGTCTTGCCTGCGGGAGAGCTTCCCTGAGTAGGGGTGTAGAGAATGCTGGTTTTTCCCATTCTTTTTATGTGAAGACCGAGCTCAGAGGCCACCCTGATTCCACTATCAAAGGCCAGAAGAGAGTCAGTGTGGCGCCCTCCTCCATCACCCGTGAAACTTTGTGAGAAGGGGTGGTGGTCTGATATGTAAGGGAAAGATGGTACCAGAAGCTTCTGTCCCCACAGCACGTATCCTGAATTCTGGGGTCCTGGGAGGGGCTTCCTACTGGCTCCTTTGGCAGACAACTTCTGTAGCAAGGTAGCTTTTTGAGAACCCTGAATATCTCTCTCTCTCTGTTTATCTGGAAGTCTGGATTCGCTGGGGGTAGACTAGGGACAGCGCACACAAAGCTGTCTCTGTGCAGTCCCCGTCTCCACCTCTGGAGGAGGACACGTGAGAAGCTGCGTCCCGGGAATGGAAGCCGACTGGGACTCCTCTACAGCCTGGCCCTCCTTCCCAGCCAGGCACAAGTCAGGGCTCCTGCCTGGATCCGATGATCAGGGCCTGGCTCGGACGGCACAGGGCCCCCACACAGCCGGGCTGTCTCTGGAGCAAAGGTGTAGGTCCAGTGGAGGGACAGAAAGGGGAGCCAGTGGGTTAGTGTCCTCTGTTGCATCCATTTTCTCCCCTGTAAGATGGGGGCAGCCCGTGTGATGATGAGCTAATGTGCAGCTGGTGCCCAAGACAGAGAAGAACGACCCCTTCATCCAGAGAGCCTTGGGCCGTTGGAGCAGGCTTGAGGCTGCCAGGCTGAGACCAGAAAAGCCAGTCCCCTCCCCCAGCCTCCCTGTCCACCTCCTCATACCCTACAGAGCCCATGAGGGCAGAAGGCCTCGTGGGGCTGTCCCGTGGCCCAGACCCTGTGCCCTGGGATTGCTTCACAACCCTCTCCCAAACCCCATGGTAGCTATGTGGGTTTTCTCCCAAAGAGGCGGCAATGAATGCTAATTCTGTAATAAAACTGTCTGAAATTAATTCCCTGAATGTAAGAGCCCTATTGAATACCTTGTTCCTGCATTTGTAAATACCGATAATGTGGTAAAGCCCCAGCTATCTGGTGGTCTACTGAGTGCCTCCTCAGTATGAGGCAGTCCTGCCTCATCCATATTCATGGCCAATTAGCGAAATGAGTGGCTCCTACAGGCCCATGCTACTTCTTCTCCACCTGGGAGCCTGGTTCTCAGCTTAAGCTCCTTTTAGTCTTTGGGTGCCCATGACCTTGAAGAACCATTGAAGAACTAACAGTCTATCCCCACTGTGTAGTAGGCATTTATATCACATAGATCAGGCCCTTTGGAGTGTCCTATGCTGTCATCTCAGATCAGGGGCAGTCAGGCAGCTGGTCGTGGAGTTCCCGTTCATGCAGGGCATGGCGTAAGTGCTGGAGAGGTGCCCACAAACTCTCATGCACAGAACATTCATGATTCAGGTGTGCTGCCACAGACCAGGGGGCGGGGTTCCAGAGGCAGAGGCCCTGGGAAAAGCCAGAGTCCAAGCTGGGGTGGCCCCGTAGGGGAGGACCTTGGCTCCATAAGTAGGAACATGTGTTCATGTGACACCTTATTTGTAATTCTGCTACCTTTTCAAGTTACAGCTTCTAAAATGTTAAATGATTGAGGCGTTTCTTTTTGAAGATGGGCAGTTCTAAACCGTGAAGTCTAGACCGCGAGTACTCTGGCACCTGAGTCAGAGAAGTCACGAGTGAGTTTGGGGGACTTGGTGGAGTCAGGATTGGAATAAGCAGGGCAGGGGCTGAGGGGGAGGGGAGGAGCTCAGGGGCAGGGAAGAGGGGAGGAGTAAGACCAGTAGGTGGGGTCCTGCTTGCATCCCTTCATCCTGGGTCGGTTGGTCTGTCGGGAAGGATGAGTTGTTTCTATCCTCTCAAGACGTAAGCAGCCCCGTGGGAGGATGGGGCTTCGCCTTTTTATTCTTGGTCAAGAGCTGTAATGTAAACCAAGGGCCAGTGGGCCTCAGAGGCCCCCTCCCATCCTGTAAGAGGCCGGCTGGGGAGAGTTCAGCACCATGGGGCCCTACAGAAAGGAAGCAGCGGTGTGCTAGGGGTCTCTGAGTGGGAGTGAGAGAGTATGTGCGGCGGAGTGAGTGTGTATGTGTCCATGTATGTGTGAGAGAGACAGACAGATATCACAGAACAGGGAAGCAGAAGCAACAACGTACAGGCTCTGAAAAGGCAAGGGATCCACTAGTGGGGAGTGAGGAGGCTGGCTTCCAGATGCACTCCAGCAGTTGGTGAACATCACCTCGCCTCTCTGACTTTGGCCCGAGGACGGTGGAGTGCTCTCTCTGACTGCCCAGGGCTGAGGACAGGGACCTGTGCACTCATCAAAGGGAGCGCTCCCTGGGGGGGGGGGGGCGCCCGGTGGTTGGATGGCCTCCACAAGTGTCTGGAGCCATATGTGCCCCTAGCCCCCTGTCACCTGAACCTTCGGGGAGCTGCCCCATGACAGATCATGTGTCGTGCTGGGGACTACCTGCTACCTGAGCTCTTTGTGGGAGGTCTCCGGACATCATCCCTGGGCAGGCTTCTTCCGTGGCGGCCGCCATAGAGATGTGTTCACGGACACGTGCACACGTGTGCGCACTCCCAGGAGCACGTGCCTGGGATCTGAGCTGGGTGACCAGGGGCAGGAGCAGGAGGGTTTCTTCATGGCTCCTGTCAGTTAGACCCCCGCCATGGGGTCTGAGAGTTGGAGAGCTCTCCACACCCCTGGTTAGCAGCAGTGTACGAGGGACCTGGCTTGAGTAAGAATAGGAGCTGCTCTAAGTCACCTAAGCAAAGAAATAACTAAGCGTAACTCTGTTACGTAAGCTCTGTTCTATATGGAAACCTGTAATGCACAGCTGAGTTCTGGAGAACCCTTTCTGGGGATAGGCCAGTGGGGGTATCCTGCGGAGGACCTGGTGGCCCCAAATCTCTGACTCACTCATTTTTTTAGGAAATCCATAAATCGGCACTTCCTGCCCTTGTTTTCATGGTCCGTGACCTTCACGGTCTGGGTGCTATGTGTCTCCCAGCCGGCACACCTCGACCAGAGGCGTTATGGCGTTTAGAAAGGTTGCAGAACTCTCTGGTGACTGCAGGAGCAGCCTACAAGGGGGTGCTGCCCCCCCCCCCCCCCCCCGAGCACCAGGAGCCAGGCAGGCAGGCTCAGAGGAGCCCCAGGGGATGTGCTGGGAATTGCCCAGTTCCTGTTGGCAAGGGCAGGCGCGGGCCAGGCGGCTTGTTGGCTGGAGGAAGACAAGAGGGGGCAGGAGAACCGGGAAGGAGGATGCTTCCCCCTGCCCCAGGGTTTGGAAGTGTCCCAGAGGCAGCAGGAGACCTTGAGCTCCCCTCGGGGTCCCCACCCTGTCAGCAAGAATGCAGATTTCTGTGCACAAAGTAAAGTGGAGCTGGTTGGCATGTGTGTGCATCCGCAGCACAGGGCAGGGGACGGAGGTGGCAGGGCCCATCCCGTGGACACAGGACGCTGGGCCAGGCTGACCATGATGACGATGACAAAAGCCGTAGCCATGGTGATAGTTAACTGTTTATCGAACACTTACTCAGAGCTACACTCGGCCAAGGGCTCTGTAAGCACTAATTTCCACAGCTCCCCCATGAGTTAAGGCTTACTTGTCCCCACTCTACAGAAGAGGGAACTGAAGCAAAGAGAGGCTCATGGGGATGAAGTCAGGACCGCAGCTCGGGGCCGCCTGGCCCCCCTCACACCCTCTTCTCTGATCTGGTCCCCGGCTGGCACGTTGGGACTCTGCTAGACAGCTGCTGAGGCCTCCTTGCTCTCGGGGCCGCAGGGTGGCTGGGCCCAGTGCACCCCAGGCCAGAGGAGAAAGGACAGGGCTCTTCTCTGAGATACAGGAGATACAGGCCGGCACTGTTGGCTCCGCCTGGCCCTGAAGGCAGTGGCCCCAGCCCGAGGAGGCAAAGCCACAAGGGCTTGGCTCTCAGCCGTGGGGCGAAGACGGTGGAGGAGCCGGAGCTCCGGTTTGCAGTCCTGCCCGGCATGTCCTGAAGCCTCAAGCACTGGCCTGTCAGGCAGGGGGCAGGAGGGAGCCTACTATGGCCACGGACCAAGGTGACTGCCAAGGTCCAGGGAGGTGACGGCCGGGACCCCCCCCCACCTCCCCCAGGAGACCCATCTGATGGCTCTCCAGCCGGAGACTAAGGCCATGTCACAGGAATCCTTTTAAACCACCAATAAAAGTATTAAACAGAGTTTTTCAAAATATTTAAATAACATACGCCTTTGCCCCCGTTATCGCTCCTCTGAAGTAGCCGTTAAGGCTGTAGGGTGTAGCCCTCTCGAGCCCTGAAGCGCACACACGCGCAGACCGATCCCGCTCTGCATCTCCTTCTGCTACTTGCCTTCCTCAAGGACAGCTCTCCGCGCTGGTTCTTGCATTTCTGCCTCATGCTCTCTCAAGGGCTGCAGAGGCCTCCGAAAGCACAGATGTGCTACAAACTATTCAGCCCTTCCCCACTTGGTGAGTATTCGGATTATTGCCATTTTTTTCTCCCTTACAGACAGTGCTTCTGTAGGCAGCCTCGAACACACATTCCGCAACACACACACCTTTCTCGAGCCCGGATTCCTGGTGGTGGGGAATTGCTAGGTCAGAGGGTGGCTGCCATTTCCTTTTTACGACAGGTGAACCGAACGTGCGCCCCACACCTCAGGAGGGGGGCCCAAGGAGCCAGGGACAAGGACTGTCCCTGCCTCTCCAACCCTCATGCCCTTCTCTTCCCCTTCAGGTACGAGGTGATCTGCCAAAGCTCGGAGCTGGCCAAGGACATCCTGGTGCCCTCCTTCGACCCCAAGAACAGGCACTGTGTGTTTCAAGGTGACCTCCTGCTGTTCAGCTGTGCGGGCGCCCACCCCCGGCACCAGAGGATCTGCCCCTGCCGGGACTTCATCAAGGGCCAGGTGGCTCTCTGTAAAGACTGTCTATAGCAGCCCCTGGCCTGGCCCCACACTCACTCTGTGGGACTAACGGTGGCTCCAACCCCGATGGGACAGGGCCGGGGGGCAGACGTCAAGTCAGTCAGGGGCTCTCGCCAGAGCCAGAAATTGATTTTGGAAGGTTTCGATTTGGTATTGCTCCTCCTGGCTTCTCCCTGGCACAACTTCGTTTTAATTTCTTGAGGAGACTGTGTCACTACAGCTGCCCCAAGGTAGAAAGAAGAGTCTCAAGATTCATTTAAAACAGAACCAGAGGAGGAACGGAGCTTGTCAGAAAGAACTTTCCACGGGAGCATTCCTAAACCCATTCACTTATTTATTTGGGAGGGAGGGAGGGGGAACAGGGGAGGGCCCAGAGGGATTGATCACACTTCTTGCTTCTCTGATTTCCCACTGTTTACTGTCCACCCTCACTGTATTATTACTCCTGTCTCCTTCCGGAAGGAAGCAGGAGGGAGACAGGGTGCACTGTGGGGCCGGTGGCTCGCTTGAGGGCAGCCGCGGGGACCCAGCTCCTCGAAGTGGATGGTGGCAGAACACAAGAAAATCTTGTGTGTGCTTGACAGATGGCAGCTAGAGGACAGGCACCTCCTGGGCGTGGGGGGACATGCCTGTGGTGGTGTCCTGAGAGCCCAGCCAGGGACCAAAGGTGGGGCCACTTTGCAGTGAGAGCTCCTTTCCTCGACCCTCCCCCCCCCGCCCCCCATCACACGCACGCACGCACACACACACACCTTGGCTCTAATTTCTGATGAGCGCTTTAGGAAAGAAATGCAGGATTGGGGAATTGACATTTGCTAGTGTGTAGTAAATCCACCCTCCCTCCAGTGCCACTGGAAGGAGGAAAGTAGAAACATGGGTCATGCTTGTTTACTCCTGAAAAGGGTTATCCGAGCTGGGGTGTGGACAGGCGCGAAGCTGGCCCCTAGGAACCAGAGCTGTGCTCCAGGCAGGTGGGCTTGTGTTCTGTTCCTTCTCATGTCTGATGTCACCAAAGTCCCATCTTAGTGGCCCTGATGTTGCCAGGGGGGAGCAGGGGCAGGCGAGGATGAACGTGGTGTGTGGTCCTGGCCGATCACCTGTGGGTGTGGGTGTGTAGGTGTGTGTCTTGCACGGGATTGGAGTCTGATGCTGGCTCTTCCTTGAGGCTCGAATATTCTGAGGGGGGGTATTCCGAGTTGGCCGTTTGGCCCAGTCAGACTCACTGGATGCCCCTGCTAACCCTGGAGTTCCCAGTCTGTGCCGTGGTGGGAGCTCCCCACCACCATCCGGCCCTGCTTCAGTGCCCTGGCTAGAAGTGTGTGTGCTTGTGCTGTGAAGCCCCTGGCAGCTCCAGGCTGGTGACAGTGAGCTCTTTTCTCCTTCCTGCAGAACATGCCAGTCATGAGCTGTGGTGTGACCCACCCAGCCCTCACTGGTGGTTTTGAGTGCCTTGGCCACCTAGCACCATGCTCCCCCCCTGCAGCTCATGGCTGGGTGGGCCTTCAGGAAGGGAACTAAGTCAGAATCCTGCCTCATGCGGACCACGGGGCCTGTGGAGCCTTTAGGTAAGGGGAGTTAGATGGTGCCCGCTTCTCCATTCTTCCCTGGTGCGTCAGTAGGATCAGATGCACAGCCAGCCGTTTGTTTTTTTTTTTCCTTAGACTCCCAGTGGGGCTCAATTTCACCTCTAATCCCAGAGAGTGAAGGGAGTGAGGAGCAGCAGTTAGGGTCTCCCCCACCCTTCAGGTGGCCCGTGAGCACATGTGACAGGGAGAGTTCTGATAGGGAGACCTGAGCGTGGGCGCAGGGGCCCCTCAAGAACTAGCCGAGAGCACCCTCTGCCTGGGCCCAGCATAGAAGTGCAGTGGGATCTTGGCGATGGGGGGGGGGGTGTCTATCTGAATGTTCCTCCAGGTATCGCAAGGCAATTCCTGCTGCAGGAGAAACTGCCTTCCGTGTTGTTAGGAACTGCTTTTCCCTATGAAAGGGCCTCTGGGTTTCTCCCTAGGTTGTGGGAGTTCCCTTGAGCTCCCAGGGCTGCAATTCCTGGGCCAGGGCCGCCCTCTCCTGGGCTCTTGCGGGAGCTTCCAGAGGAGAGGATGTCATGCAGGCATTGGGCCAGCAGGGGGAGCCTGCGGGCTGAGACCGGATTTCTCTAGCTTGGCCCAATTAACCCATTTTGCAGAGTTGTTTCAATAAGCCGGGGGACTCAGAAAGCAAGGAAGCTGGAAAGCGCGGTTCCGAGAAAGATGCTGCGCCGGTCTGGTGTTCCGGGAGCCGCAGGGATGATTTGTGGCTGTCCTGTTTGCTGAGCTCAGGGCCTCTCCGCTTCCCGGTTCCTCTCTTCTCCATCTGGACTCATGTCTAGCAGTCCCGCAGAGCACTTGCCCGCCCTTGAAGATCCCGGTGGCGCCCCCCGCAGTCCGGTAGTGGCCAGAAGGACCCGAGTTCCACAGGTGTAGCTGCTGCTTCTGGGGCAAACCCGCACTCCAGGTGTCCAGGGCATTATGAGCAGAGGCAGTGACACCCGAATGTATAGCGGCCCCCAGGCCACCACCACCATAGCCCACATCTGGTCAGCGCCCCCACCCCCAAGAGGAAATTGGGGAGGGGGTCTCCATCTGCCCTGTGTGGTAGGGGCACAGTTGCTGGCTGCCCTGGGAGAGGGCTGTGCCTCTCAGAGCGTAGCTGGGAGGCTTTGGTGGTTTTGCCACTGCCAATCTGAGCAGAATCCTAAGCCAGTTTTTAATTGCTGATTTACACAGGGACAGAGATCCTAAGTCAGGATCTGTGTCGTCTTGTGTCATAAGCATACCTTGCCTGTCTTTAAGTTTTTGTCCATTTTCTTTTCCTTAGTAAAATTTGGCCCTCCCCCCCCCCCGTGATCCTAAATTCTTAAACATGAGGGAAATGTACCTAATTTATTAAAAGAGAGAAAGCTTTCCTTTGAACCATAAACTCTTTCAGGAGTGAAAACTCCCAAAAGGGGAAGCACACTTCTTTTAATGCCAGTAAAAACCTCCTTTATTTCATATATGTAATTTGATTTGCACATGTACAAATGGAGACACTCTTTTGCATTTTTGCCTGGATCGAGTTTTCGTCACTTCTTTAGTTTGCTTTTTGTGTGTGTGATTGCTCCATGTTTTGAAATACTAAGAGTGTTTCTTTGATATTTATTGTTTCTCTGATGTGCCTTTTCACATTTTCTTTGGGGTTGGTTTTTAGAATCTGGGTACCATTTAAGGAAGATCACAGATCCCTCCAGCTTGAAGGTAGGACACACCCTTGTGTCACCGAGGATGCTCAGGCTGGGCACCAGAAATACCCTCTCAGGCCCCTAGGCCACAGCATATGTGCTCCTGCACCCCCTTGAGGCCATGAGAACCCCCAGGAGAAGGGCTGGCTTGCTCCCAGGCTGCTCCATGTCTTCGGATCTGAGGACTGCTGGTCGCCAACACGCCAACAGGCCTGTGCCCCCCGCAACTCAGGCACCCGGTGAAGTGTGGCTGGGGCACAGGACCAGTCTTCAGAACACTTGATCTATCATAAAGGGGAAAGACTATGCACCCCTGTTGTTTCCTTAGGGAACACGGGGTTTATTTTAGTAAAGGTGTTAAAACTGTATGCTGTGTACAGGTGGGTTTGTGCTTTTGAGACCAAAGCAGGCCATTCCATTTACCTAGACTGTGTATATAATTGGGACAAGTACCACCCTTTCTCATGCCCCCAAAATCCTTGATTTAAAAAAATATATATATTTTGTTAACGACAGGCTCGGTTGTGTTACCATCCCAAGCCTGGATTACTTTATTTATTTTAAAGTATTTTAATTTCCACATTGGCTTCGTTCTAATCCCATCCATCCCTGTAGGGCTGCAGAGCATCTCCGTGGGAAGAGCTGGATGGACAGAAGTAGATTCTTTAGTGAGGTGGGGATTTCCTAAAGCTGAGGGTGAGTTCTTTCATTCCTGTTGGCTTCAGCAAAAACTGGAAACTTATGTTTTTTAGCAAAAGGCCAAATTAGTTGTAGAGTCTCAGATGCAGAAAAAAATTACCCTAGCTTTTCTTAGCACTTAAGGTTTTTGTGAGGATTCAGTGTTTAGCCGTGTCTGGCACATAGTAAGCCCTCGTAAATGTTAAATATTGTTATTAGCATTTCATAAAATTTGAGAAATAAAGAGCTAAGTAATACCTCCATGAAAATATTCCTCCAAGTTGATGGAATGTAGGAATTTCTGGTTTAGGATGTCCAAGTCCCATGCCCATCCTGCTGGTCGAAATGTTACTGTATCCCTGAATGCACTGACTGATTTGCAAATATGCCTGACTTCAGCCCCAGATGGAACTAGGCTGTAAGAACGTGTAAACTGGAGATGAAAAGGGTGACCCACATGCTGGACCTCACCCCACTGATGTCTTCTGGACCATGCTAGGGTTCTTCTTTGTAGAGCTTTTTGAGCTAGAATTAAAATAAGTTCTCAGACTGTACCCCTTAAATCAAAGTTAACTATATTCCTCTGAAATGCAATAATAAAGACTTTGTGTTTTGTTTAAGGAGAAAGGAATGGCCAGTTGAACTTTGTCATTCCCCCAAGAAGTCCCTTTGCTGTTCCCTGCTGGCCGGGGCCGGCCCCTCCACACTCCAACCCACAGGGATCAGACCCTGGGCTGGTTAGCGGTCACGTTTGTTTTGGTGCCATTCCCCTAAAAGACCCCCCTCCCCCCCCAGGCTGGCTTGGCTAGCCTGAGGACCCCAAGACTATCTGACCACTCAGGTGGAGCTATGGTGGGCACGGGGGTTGGGGGGGGGGTGGGTACAGAGTTTCTTCAGAACTACTCCCAAGAGGCTGCTCAGTGATGTTTTCCCAAATCACCTAAATATCAGTTTGCTTTTTGTTTTATTGGGGTTTTAGCCTTTTTCTTCCCTGTTTGAGAGTTTTATCTTCTGTCTTGCCACTATTCTGGATAGACTGCCGTTGGGAATATGGAGGAATTTGCTGGAGTCTGAATTCTTTAGTGGAATCGATTAGCAGTTTTATATGTTTGTGGGTGTAGGATTGGAATTCGCCTTCTTCAAAGCATCGTTCCCTCTAATCCCTGATTCTGTGGCGCCTTGGGGACCCCCCTAGCAGCTGGTGAGGCATGGTAGAGGGCAGCTGTGTGCTCCTGTGGTGGGGGGAGGGGGTGGCATGTCGGGGGACGGGGGCAGGTGCTCAGACAGGTGGGCAGTGCTGCAGGCCTCAAAAGCCTTGCTGGAACAGCAGGACGGACGGGACCATAGCGTGGCCCGCCACCTCCGCCAAAGCCAAGAAGGAGCAGACCTGGGAAGCATTTTGCTCGCTGTCATGTCCAAGTGTTCCCGGGACGCCAAAGGAGAGGGCGCCATCCTTCCTACTATAGTTGCTGTCACAGCCTTGATGTCCTTACGCTAATGGCCGTTTGCGTGTGTGTCTTCAGACAGCTCCTGGTACAACCGTTTTCTACTGTTCACTTCCGGGGTCATGTAGTGCAGGATTCTGCAAATAAGGTGTCGCTGTCCAAACGTACTGTACCTGCATAGAGAACACTGCTTTGTTTTCCAATGTTGTAGAGAAAACTAGGGAGAACTTTATTTTTCAATAAACTTTTGTTGTGTGACAGGTGGCAGTTGTTTTTGGGGGTCTGGGATGGGTGCAGGGTCACCTACAGAACAAACCCAGCGGCATCCCCCAGTGCCGGCACCCACTGATGACAGGTCACCATTCGCAGACCCCCCTGCGGAGAAACGCTGACGAGAGGGTACGTGTCAGGAGTGGGGAGGGAAAGGTTTTACTCCCGAGTGGCCCTTCCCTTATGTGGCATCCACCAATACTCATTCCAGAACACTCCCCCTGTCCTGCATTCACCTACATGGGAACGGAATTTGAAAGAGGACTGGTAGGCTTATTTTGCGGGGGCGGGGGGGTTGCAGGCAGATGCCCTGGAAAGAAGGAAGGTCACGTCCATGCCCACCCCAAGGGCTTGTCTGAGAATGCTGGAGAGCGATGGCCAGCCTCTTGGAAGCCAGCAGAACTCCTGGCTACTGCCTGGAATGCAGACACCACGCAGTTCCCATCATGCATCTGTGGGACACACATCCCACAAAGTGCCAGAAAAAAACTGGAGTGCTTACATTTGCGGGGGGGGGGGGGCGGGGGCACTACATCATAGCTTCCCCTCCTGAAGTTTCCACGTGTGCTAGACACAGAAAAGAAATATATCAAATCTTGCATTTCCCAGACTAGCTCATACAGTTGACCCTTTTTTCCATGTGACCGATTAACATTACCATGCAACGCTCCTCAAAATGCTGTCCGAGGAAGCCACGCAGGACGCGTCAGATTGAATCAAGGTCAGAGATGAACCACCTCCCCTCAGCGAGCCAAAGACAGCCCCCTAGGAGCGGGGGCATGGAAGGCAGGGGCGAGGCCCGGGGAGCACCATCCTGCAGTCCCAAGCACCACCAAATGAATGTGCAGCCCCCCTTCCCTCGCAGGGCCTGCAGTGCCCATGGGGACAGTCCTTCAGGGTCTCCCCACTCAGCACCCCCCAGGCCCAAGGGACCCCATCCACGGCATCCTTCACACACAACAGAAAACCTGCCCAGGACAGTGAGAACGCGCAAGATAACCTCCCCATACCATACAAAACAGGTGAAGGTCTTTATTGGTCGGACACCGTCGCCTGGACGAGCAGCAGTCCCAGAGGCACAGAATGTTGTGTGCTGGGGGGACACTTGTACAGAATCTATACCTAACGTTACAGAAACAGGGAACATCTCGTTCCTTACAGAGGGGCAAGCCATCTCTAGCAGACGGAGACGTACCGTTACCACTTCACACAGCATAGAGATCTATGCACATATGGGTAGATTATATAATTATTTATTACAAATAAACTGTCGTTTCACATCTCTCAAAAATGGATCCGTTTTTACATGTAGGTTCAGCTTCTGAATGTACAAGAAATGGTCATGTGCTCAGTTCAACCATGCAAAGCTCATACGTGTGTCACTAAGTACTTTAAAAATAGAATGGTCTCCTTTTGGACAAATCTGTTTGTTTAGAGTCAGGATTAGTAAAACAGTATGAAACTAATGAAATACCTTGATAGAAATCAGGAAGTGATCTGTACTGATGGTTCTGGGCATGTCAAGGGGCGAGGGACAAAAGGTATGGTCTTCCCTTAAAATCTGCCAGGAGAGAAGAGACTCTGGAACGGGAGGTGGCGGGGGCCACCGGGGGTCCAGAGGAGGTGGGTCTGGTCAGTTGCTATCCATTTCAGGCTTAGAGCACCACAGAGGAACTTTCTGCCAAGGAGACATCTTATCTTACCCACAAGAACCTTTTTTACTGCAGAAAACAGAAAAGGTCAGTTCTCGCTGGAGGTGGGGAAACCTGTCCCCACTCCTGTGCGCGTTGTCCTAACGCAGTTGACGGGGGGAGGAGTGCAGACTGACCTGCCGGGCAGACCTTGTTCCCATGAACACAAACTTGCCAAAAAAGAAATTGGATGTTCAGTGAAATATTGGCACCATCTGCCTGTGTGGAAACCTCGTGGTCCTGACGGTGTTCGTGCGGAGGCACAGCAGCCGGCTCGGGCCCCACTGGCCACTGTCACTCAAACATCTCGTAGTGGCGGGTCTGCCTCACCCTGGGCACCATGTCGATGAGGAGTCTGCAGGAAGGAAACACAAGTCACCCCCACGTGGACCCCCCACAGCCCTGGGGCTTGAGCGCTTGGGGAAGTAAGCAGAAGGCTTTTTAAAAACTACCATTTATATATACCATAAAATTCAACCTTTTAAAGTAAACAATGTAGTGCGTTTTAGTATATTCATAGGTTGTACAAACCACAACCACCACCTAATTCCAGAACAATCTGTCACCCCAAAAAGACACCCCTTGGCCACCTGCAGTCATTCCCCATCCTCCCCTGCAACCTGCTGATCTACTTTTATTCTCTGCTTTGGCCTCTTCTGGATATTTCCTCTATATGGAATCACCTAACATGTGGCCTTTTCTGACTTGCTGCTTTCATTTGGTACCATGTTTTCGAGGGTCATCCACATTGTGTCCTGAGGCAATACTTCATTCTTCTTAAGCCTGAGGAATACTCTACGGCTCTATCACATTGTTCCATTCGTCAATTTAACAGACTTTTGCCTACCATCAGTAATGTTGCTGTGATCACTCGTGCATGAGTCATTACGTGGATGTGTGTTTTCATTTCTCCGGAGTAGACACCAAAGGAGTGACACCTGCTGGGTCAAGTGGGAACTCCCAACATCGAACACAGTGAGGAACTACTCAGGGGTCTCCACAGCAGCTGTCCCGTTGTACATTCCCACCAGCAACGTATGAGGGTTCTCCTTTCCCCCCATCCTGGCCACCCCTGATTGTCCATCTTTCTTACTATAGCTATCCTCTTGGGAGGCAGGGAGCGCTTTAACAGTTAAAAAACTCGGTGCCTTTCAAAAAGGGCTCTCTCGAAGGCCGACCCCAGCCTGGATGCTGGAGCAGAGTCAGTGATGTCTGCACAGTGCTTCTTCAATGAGAGGACACAGGCTGGGTTTATCCTCAAGTGTGACCCTTCTGCAGTGACTCGTCCCTTTGGGAGAAAAGTCTCTAAGTGGGGTCTGGCGGAGTGGTGCTGCTGGGCCGTGCCCTGCTGGAGCATCCCAGGTGGCAGGAGGAGCTTGACCTGTGAGGACACCACACAAACGTGCCTCCCCAGTGTGTCATCATGATCCTCGTTAGAGAGGAAGGGGCACAAAGCTTCACGCACAAAAGGAAGACCACAGAGTGAGTAAAAGACTGCCCACCTCAAAAACACCGGGCCCCTGCTGGGGGCGTTTCTAGTCCCCTGGCCTCACCCAGGCTCAGAGGGGTCACAGGGGCAAAGTGTGACGGTCAGGAGTGGCAAATGGAGCATTCATGGTCCCTGGGGGAGCAAGGACAAAAGAACTTACTTGACCCCGTAGGCAAATATGGTGAGGCCGATCAGCACACCTATGCTGCCGTCCAGGTACCAGACCGCCGCGTTATGTTTGAACACCTCCGCACTCAGAAGAATGGAGAAGCCCATCACGCCGCCCACGAGGGAGTTAAACCCTGGAGAAAGAGCAAGGAGAGGCTGAGGGCAGGGCCAGGAGAACTTTCTTAGCCACCAGTGAGACTCCCCCCATGCCAGGCGTGCCTCCACATGCCAGGCTCCCATCCCTGCTGAGCCTGCAGGGTCCGGGACGGCGTCTGCACATGGGAGACAATCAAGTCGCCAAGGACGACTTGAATGTCGGCAGGGCCAAGGACCGAGCCGGGATCTTCTCAACGCTGTGAAGTCCAATTATGATCCCAGTTGGCCGGTGAGAGCACTAGGTCGAGCAGAGTGACATGAAACACCATGACTGAAGGTGACACAGATTGAGGGTGGGGCTGAAGACTCTCCCTGCACCCCCAATCCTTTGCCTCCAGAGCCTCCCATCAGCTGAGGATTTTCACTCTCCAGGAAAGGAAATGCTAAGTCTAGACGGGGGCAGAAAAGGCAATCGAAACAGGACTGGCGCGAAGAGGTACTGAGCAGCTCTCCGTTCACACAGGGCACCTCAGTGGGCTCCCCACTTCATTTGACCTTTGACCTCTGAGTTTTCAAAAGCCAGGTGGGAAAGAACAGCTTGGGATGGCTTCTGGGGGCCCACCGGGTGTGAGCCGCAAGAGTCCTCGCCTGCCCCCAGCACCAAGGCGGCCCGGAGAGACGCTCGGGGTCCACGCACCTCCCCCGCAACAGGCCCCCCTGCAGTTCTGGGGCAGCTACACCTGCTCCCCTCCAAGGTGTTGGTGCCGGCTTCAAGCACGAGGCCTGGGACAGAGCCACCTCACGTTCGTACGTGGGGGGCTGGACGCCTAGGAATGAGGTTCTAGGTGAAGAGCAGGGGAGGGTGGCATCGAGTGAAGCCTGGGTCCGACCCCTTTCTTGGGACCCAGGGTTGGACTCTGATACGCTGCTCCCCAATAACAGGAAGCAGCTGGACCTGAGCCAGCAAGGACCAATGGCCTCTGTCTGGGACCCTCCTCTCTTCCCTCAAGGCTGTCCTCTTCCCACGCCAGCTCTCAGCTGATGCCATGACAAGGACCTGCTTAGAGCACGTAGGTGGAGAAAATACGACCTCATCTTCCCCACACCAAACCCCCCCCCCCCCCGCAGCGCTGTTCCTGCCTATAGCCAACTCCTTCACCTCTGTTCCTGGAATTCGGTTCCCGCTCTTGAGGCATCCCCCGGGAGAAACCGTACTTCCCCCCTCCCCGACCTTCAGTCTCTTCCCTGGACCTCCTGGCACCCCCTCCACAACCCTGGCTCTGCCGCCCTTCACGCATCTCCTGCAAGAGCTGTCTCCCTGTGCACCTCCCACTCTCCTCACCCCTCCCACAATGGTGCCACCGCCCTGAGGTCATCAGTGACCAAGCTGCCACCTGCCCGGGTTCATAACCTGCGCTCCTCTTCGCATCGCTGGCCGTCCTTGCTCCACTCCAGCCGTCCCGTCCCTGTCTCCACTGCTGGGTCCTCGTCTCCCCTGGGGGTTCCCCTGCACAGTGGCGGGAACTCCTCCTCCACCACCCCTG